AAAACTACAAAATAATGAGTTCATCTTTATCGTAACTGCTTGGTGAAAACAGTATTTACAGAAGTACAATTGACTCATCCTTTAGAAAACTCGTAACTGATCTAACCAATACCAGTTTGTGATATCTATAATTGTTTTTAGGTTTTTCATTACTATTATCTACTTATTTATTTTATTTTATTATTTTAGTATTCATCACTTTATATTATATTTTAATATCATTTCATACTAAGTTAGTCACAGTTTCAATTCTATAATTTTTTTTTTTATTTCTGCTAATTTTAACAATCAGATTACAATACAATCTATAAATTAAAAGTTAAGGTATTGATAATCAAAATCAAGAAGAAAAAAAAGAATAAAATGAGTTAAAGAAAATAAATGGAATAAATAAATGAATAAATAATAATTAAAATAATAGTATTAATAATAAAAACAATAATCAATAATAAATAATAATTAAAAGTAACTTGTTTGAAAATTTTCCTGTGCAAAACAGAGAAAATTATGTTGTTGACGGAATTCTATTTCTTGATATTATAAAATTTGTTGAGGTCCGCCTTAGAGTAGAACTTGGGCTAATAATCCTTATAATTAGTATCCGAGTTCGATCCCAATCGCGGCCAGCTTGGTTTCCAGCAGCATGATATCAAATTTCTACTTGAGGTTATAGATTTTAAGTGAAAATTTTCTTTCGTGAATACTGTTGAATATAGTTATAATATAGTTCGATCTCAATTGTCGTCACCTTGGTTTCTAGCAGCATGATATCAAACTGCCAAAAACTAATCAACAGGAATTGAATGTTTTTTGAATTATTCAATTCGGTTGATCCGTGCTCTCGAAATCGTGGACGAAAAATTGTATCCAAACATACACACATACACGGACGCACATACATCCGTTTTTTTAAGGTATATCAAAGACGTTAAAATGTAAAGATACGCAAAAAATTTTATTATCGATATTTTTAGTTGTCACAATAACACAAATATAAAAAAATAGTGGTGCATGGTATTGTGCCTTAAGGTAAATCGCTGGAACTTCCCGTATCAAAAGTTACAATTTTTAACAAAGCTTTAATTTTTTTGAAAAACTTTGAGAAAATTAGATTTTTGAATTTTTTTTTATTATCTCTTTTATTTACAACTGTCCCGTGAAGGACATTCAATAAATTTGATGAATTTACAATAGTCGGCCGAAAAGGGACATTGTATACTACAAGGGCATGTTGGAAAAAACAACTCAGTAGTTTTTCCATTCGATATAAAATTCACAATATTTTATTGATAATTATATAATTTTAACCATTTTTATTAATAATAATTTCTTATAAATGATGATTATGTTATTTCTATTTTTTATCAGTTTTTCTATTTTTATCAGCTTAAATCCAGTGACGCTTTTCTTTCAATCTTCTTGGATAGTTCTCTGTTATCAAGGAGTTTGCTAATGAATTTGGGTGACTGAGTGACCGCGATTGTCGGCAACGTTTCCTCAGCAAATGACGTCACCAGTCCCTTCAATGTTTGCGGACTATTTTGCGCTTGACTAGCATTCTAGGTCCATATGAATTGGTAGCTTTTTGACAGTTCTTACTGCTACCATTCATACGAAGATAGACCCGTATTATAGCGTTACCGCAACTTTTCTATTTTATCGAAGAATCGTCTCCTGAATTTCTCGTAGCATAAATGCAAATACAAGTGTTATTCATCGAGACCAAACGTCGTCGTACACCACTAGTTCTTATTTTAGTTGGCACACTTTCGTGGTGTACAACTACTCAACTAAGGAAGTGACTGTGACTGAAGTGACTATGACTGTGACTGTGACTGTGACTATTGATCTATCTGCGATTCCCTGGCGACGTATCTGTCATCGCGCGGCCTTGGACTGGCTGGCTCCTTTCCTATTCTACTCGATACAAAAGACTTATTTGATCGTATATTATTTTACTATCAAGTTGTATTATTTTATGGCAAACATCCATCATTTTCTCGCACAACTTTATATTCCGCGAACTCTTTGATCGACTTGCGTTTATTTTGACCCATATGCAAACACAATCGCATACCAAATCACGAGATACCGTGGTAACATGGGAAAATAACATTCATTTTATTTCACAATCAGATTATAAGTACATACATGTGAAATAAACTATTTATAATAATAAAATAAATATTATTAATTACACGTGTGCAAAATTAAGGAGAAATTGAGTTTTGAGATGGTGGAAAATTGCTGGCATTTTTTTTGGGAAGTACGAGCTTTTATCGTCAAGTCGAGCTTTTCTTGCTCCTTCCAACCTTCTGCTATGTGGGTATTTTTAGGCCGTTTTTGATCATGTAGTTGATCATAAACCGTAGGCTTTTCTGGTCATTCTAAGTTTGAGCTCTTTGGATAATATGGCTGACACAACCCCAAAGCTCTTCACCATACATCCAACTGATTACTATGTATAATAAGGTCTTTTTGCCTAGAGTATTTGGATTATAAGTCAATTTTGAGTTAAATTTGATGTAAATTCAAATACATGAGAATTACACTATTTAGTGATTTAGAATACATGCATTATTTATATACTGAGCAAGATTTTTTTTAGTGATGAGTGCCATGATTTAGCTTTGGTTTTGATGTCTCATTTCTCAAGTTATAATTCATTTTCGATCAGGTAGATTGGAAGTAGATAAGCTATTTTTAGGATATTATTGTTCTTTGAAGTAATGACAATGTCATCAGCATAAGTGCTTATTGTTAAGGGGGGCGATACATGTAATCGCCTTAATTTTTACCATTTTTTGAGGACTTTTTAAACTGGGAAGGAATGATTGAATCTTTTTGAACTTTTTTAGGGTTATTTTATATATTAAAATACACAAAAAAAATTTTTTTTTATTTTTTTTCTTTTTAAAAAATGGCTGCCGTAAAAATAAATCTGCCAAGACCCTCTCGGGAACGCCATCAATTTGCGGGCGTTCTCACTTTTCGTACGGTGATCTGAATTTAAAAAAAATTAGTTTGTACTGTTCATAAAACATATATCTTCTAGTTAAAAAACAAAAAAAATTAAAAAAGTCACAAAATCGTAAATTGGCACACCTTAGAAAAAAAAAGTTCGATTTTTCCACCTTTTTTTCAATGGTTTTTTTGGTAAAAGGGTTAATTTTTGAAAACATTTTTTGGATGTTTTGAGGTTTAACTAGAAGCTATTACTGTAAAGTAGATGTGTGCAAAATTTCATTGGAATCGGTTGAGAACTTTTTGAGTTAATCCCGCCCGCAAGTTTCAAAAAATGTCGTTTTGAGAAAAACGCGTTAAAGTTTTGACACATAGACAGATAAGAGTTGAGGCGTGGCACTTAAATGATTTTTTATTGTATAAATAATGATAATTTTTGTTTGAATATTTACAGGCATATTTTTGAGATGTTATTGTAACGATTTATGAAAAAAAAAAAATCGATTTTTTTTTTCTTGTTTACATGTATCGCCCCCCTTAAAGTA